TAACCAGGCTGTAGCCAGAGAGAAAGTAAGACTTTCCTCAAGCTATGACCCATGAGTTATCTCAACATAAGCAGAGACTTACTCTAGGTTTAGGATTTGGGGTCTGCAGTCTGATTTGGCTATTTTCTGCCTAATCTGACACATTCTCTGGTGCTACACATAATTTCCTTGCTCCATCAAGATCCTTACATGGCTTCTAAAAATCTGCCACTTGCTTTGATTTGCTCCATAATGTTGTCATATCTAGGGGTGAGCACCGCTGGGATGAGCAGCTAACTGGGACTGTGAACTCAGCCCTGAGAATGAATCAAAAGGATGGAGTTTTAAGCAAGGGAGACGTTTTATTTGTGAGAGGGAAATATCAGAACACAGAAAGCTGCCCCAAAGAGAGGACAGGAGCGTCCAGAAAGATGGATTCCCCTAGGCCCTTTGCTCCATTTGTTGTTTTTGTGTTTTGTACCAGGGATTGAACTCAGGACCTTTCACCTGCAAGGCAGGCATGGAGCCACTGAGATACATCCCTGGCTTCCAGCTTCTTTTGTTGGGTTTAGGGGCCCTTCCTCCTAGGTGGGAACCTGGAACTTGTTACAACCTGACTGGCTTTCTGGGCTGTTTTTTTTTGGTGTGTGGGGGCTGTTTTAGATAGATCCCAGGCCACAAGACCCTAACCCAGGCACCACTGCCTAAGTGTACATTGTTTTTGATGGGCTTTGATTTCTTCCTGCCCATTTGTCCTTGTCAGAGCTTTATCTCTGGATTTATAGGTTGGCAAGGGGTCTTACAGAAAGTCAACTGAAAGTCAGTGAATAAAGGGATTCATGTGTGTCTAATGCAGCAATACAGCGACCCTAGAGAATATGAAAAAAAATGTATATATATAATTTTTTTTTTTTGAGACAGGGTCTCACTACATAGTTCAGACTGGCCTTGAAATGCTGGGATCACAGGCGTGTGCCACCAGGCCCTGCATTATATGTTTTTATCTACTAAATACAATCAGTCCCTGTCGCGAGCACCGATTTGCGTTTCGGGATCACGGGTCAGCGCATCAATGATTGCCAATTCGGTTTCGTTTTGATCAATGCTTTTACTCTCATTAACAATACAAATACAAGCCCACACAAAGGATACAACTACAATTGCCAGCGCAATCCAGAAATAATGCCAGCCCATAATATCTCTAACACAATCATAAATGCTATCATGCTATAGGTGAGGGCATACGACCTGGTAGATGTAGTCTGGTCTCAGGCTTCGCAGGGTCGAGCTGCGACTTCGATGTTTCGGCAGTCAGGATCAGGTACAGCGTGTCAGCATCTCGGACAGAGCAGGGATGCAGATCCTCTGTTCCAGGTCTGGAAGCTCCTGCGTCTCGGGCAGAGCTTCAGCAGGTCATCTTGACGGAGTCGTCAAGCGACGTCATCTGTCTGTAGTCTTCTCCTTTTATACTTTAAGTCATTTCTAATCTAATACATCCATATGCTCTATCTAAGTTAACTCCTCAACACTCGCATTACCTTACTTCAAACTCTTAATCTTATGTCACAGCAGTCATGTGTCACGGCACACGGTCGGGGGGGG